GGCTCCAGGCCTGCTTTCCTGAGGACCCTTTTCTTTCGCAGCAGCCCAGGAAGTAGGAGTGACCCGGATACTGCGTGAGAACCCTGCAGCTGCTCCCCTTGGCCTCTGGCCACCCCCAGGTCACAGACACCAATGCCGCCACCGCTCGGGAGACTTCCTCCAGCACCCTGAGGCCCCTGCCACGTCCCCCTGGTCCAGCCTGCCCACTGCCAGTGTCAGAGAGTGAATTCCTGGTGGACACTGGGGGAGGGGACACTGACCCTCCCTGGAGGTGTCCTGGGCCTTGAGGTGCTGAGCAGAGTCCCCAGCCTCTACCCTCCAGGCCAGGAGCTCCCCTGTCATGACGGCCACCAGTACCCCCAACATCCATTGCCTGCATCCCTGGGGGCAGAGTCACCCACCCAGGGGCGAGGCCACAGGGTCACCTAGAGGAGCAGGTGGGCTGGGTGGAGGGGTCTCCAGCCCAGGGGAGCAGGGAGCCCTTCCCTCTCACCCGGGGGCTGCTGTGGCACTGTACAGGGGCAGCCCGGACTGGCCGGCCACACCGGTTAACGGCTCTGGATGACAGAGGGGTCACCCGTGCATCCTGCCAGGGACCCAGGGCCAACCCCGGATCTGGTGGGAGGTGCCTGAGGGAGCAGGGAGCTGTGGAGGGCATGGCCCTGGCAGCAGGGGTGGTGGCAGGCGTTCTGGGTGCATCCCGGAGGTGGTGGCGCTGATGGGCAGGGGTGGCAGTGGGGGCCAGAGCCCGGCTTTCACAACTGAAAAAAGAATCAAAAAGAAAAAAAGCGGCTCCTGGAGTTGGTGAATAAGGGCCCTCTGAAATGCCACATCCTAATCACCAGAATTTGTGACTGTGTCACCTCCTGGGGCAGAAGGGACTCAGGTGTGACCAGGGGAGGGTCTTGAGCTTTGGCCACCCAGGGTCACCACAGGGTCCTGCTGAGAGGAGGAGCAGGGTCAGGGTCAGAGGGCCAGGAAGACGCTGTGCTGCTGGCCCTGGAGCTGGAGAGGGGACGGGGACTCTCCCTGGGGTCTCAGGAGCTGGAGGAGGGGACCATGGACTGTCCCTGGGCCAGGGAGGCCTGTGCTGGACTGTGGCCCAGGCCTGAGGGGTGTGTGGCTGCAGGCTGAGCCCCTGCAGGGTGACCAGTGGGCAGGAGGTGGGTGCCCGGCGGGAGCCCAGCCCTGGCTCTCCATGAGCCTCGTCTCCTGGCGGCAGCCCAGGCGTGTCCCGCGCCCGCCCGGGGTTGGCCCTGTGTGCTGAGGTGCTTTGGGAAGTGGGGTGACGCCTGCAGCTGACTGTGAAATGAAATTGGAGGAAGTAGGCGGGGGTGCAACTCTGGGGCGAGCACGTGACCAGCCTGCGCCAGGCCCTGGGTTCCACCCCAATGTCACCCCAAAACACAGCACAGCAAAGTGCTACTTGTAGGCCCCAGGTGGCAGGTGGCGTGCGCCCCTCCGGTTCCCAACTTCTGTCACGCGTGACGACTGTACTAATCAACTGCTCGAGGTGGCTCTGCAGCTCCTGGCACTTCCTGCCCCACGAGGTGACACGGCGGTGGTCACAAGCTTCCTCTTCACTTTTGAACACTGTTATTGCTTCTTTTTTAAAAACATTTTTTAAATCGTCAACGGACCTTTATTTTATTTATTTATCTGCGGTGCTGAGAATGGAACCCAGGGCCTCGCACCTGCCGGGCAGCGCCCACCACGGAGCCCCAGCCCAGCCCCACCCCATGGCGTCGGTTTTTGAACAACTGTTATTGCTGAAGAAAAGAGGACCGGTTGCTCATTTAGTGGTTTTCCTCTCTCTCCCAGTCCTGGGGAGGGAACCCAGGGGGCGCCACCCACTGGCGCGCCCCTGGCCCTTTGCATTTTGTATTTATTGTATTATTTTTTGGAGAGGTACAGGGATTGAACTCAGGGCCACTCGGCCCCTGAGCCACGTCCCCAGCCCTATTCTGTATTTTATTTAGAGACAGGGTCTCACTGAGTTGCTGAGCGCCTCACTTTTGCTGAGGCTGGCTTTGACCTCTCAATCCTCCTGTCCCAGCCTCCTGAGCCGCTGGGATTGTTAGGCCTCCCACGTGGGAGGCCCTGGGTTCGATCCTCAGCACCACATAAAAATAAATAAACAAAATAAAGATATTGTGTAAAAAAGTGCTCATTTAAAAGATCAAAACTTGGAAGCAGCTTGGCAAAGCCTGGCAGGTTCCTGTTCCTGCCCAGTGACATCCTCGGATACCCAAGGGGTGCCACTCATGCCCTTGGCAGCAGGAGAAGGCTCTGGAAGGTCTGGATGCGGCAGGAAGTGCCCCAGCCGGGAAGTAACCCCAGGCCAGGGCCACGACTCCCGGGCACCTGGACAAGAAGTGCCGCACCCACTCCACTGACCGGGCCCGCAGCCCAGGCCAGTGTCCACTCGGGCGTCCTTGTCCTACACCCCGGCCTTTTAAAGTTCATTTTGAGGCAGGGTCTCCAGAGGTTGCTCTGGGTCTGGCTAGGTGGCTGAGCCTGACCTTGAACTTGGACCCTCCGGCCTCAGCAGTGTCACATGTTTGTGGTCCCAGCCACTCGGCCAGCCTGAGCAGCTTAGTCAGACCCCGCCTCACACCCGGAGGCGCAGGAGTGGTGGTGGCAGAGGGGGCTCCGGCGCGGCAAGCCCTGGCACAGCCCCTGGCACTCAGGAAGACGGGGCCAGTGAACTCAGGGGGGCAGACGCAGCGCGATCGTGGTGTCTGTTCAGCGGGCAGCTTGGCCCTCACCCCATCTGTTGACCCAGGGGGAAGCCAAGGGCCGCCGGGGAGAAAGGCCCTGGGGGGTGGGGGCAGCCCCCCTTCTCTCCCATCCTGGGAGACTCAGCTCCTCTGCTGGTCAGTGCCACGGAGTGACCTGCTCAGAGGGAGTGGGACCTGCCCAGCCCAGGGAGGCCCCCCTTCAGCAGGTCTGGGATCTGTGGTGGGGTCAGAGACAAGTTCTGAGAGAAGGCCCCGCTGCAGGGCCTTGCTGGGGAGCCCTGCCCCGAGGGAGAGGCGTCCTGAGGGAGGCGGGGCGGCGGGGGGGGCGGCAAAGCAGCCATTGGCCAGGGACGGGCAGCTCAGCCGCAGGAGGACGTCGGCCTCGGCCCACTGGGCCTCCCGCAAAAGCTCAAGCACTCCTGGTGCAAGGTGAAGTGGTGTGGTGATGGTGACGTTGGCAGCCAGCTGACAGTTCCTCAGAATCAGACGGGAGCCAGGTGTGGTGGCTGGCCTGTCGTCCAGCTGCAGGGAGACTGAGCAGGAGGATGGCAGGGTCCAGGCCGGCGGGCACCGGAGCCAGACCTGTCTCAGCATAGGACGACGCGGGCTGGGTGTGGCTCATGGGAGAGCAGGGGGTTCCAGCCCCAGTGCTGGGGACAAAGATAGACCATGTGGCATGTGAATTGTGTCAATAAGGTGTTTTTTAAAAAAAAAAAATCAAACAAGATTTTGTTTTAGGGGCTGGAGTTGTGGCTCAGCGGTAAAGCACTCGCCTAGCGCGGGCGAGGCCCTGGGTTCGATCCTCAGCACCACATAAAAAAATAAAATAAAAGTATTGTGTCCATCTGCAACAACAACAACAACAACAACAACAAAATATATATATATATGATTTTGTTTTAGTTGTAGATGGACACACACCTTTATTTTGTTTATTTTTATGTCATGCCGAGGATCAAGCCCAGGGCCTCCCATGTGCCAGGCAAGTGCTCTGCCCCTGAGTCACATCCCCAGCCCTATTTAAAACATTTTTAAAAATGATGACAAAAGCCAGGTGCGGTGACACATGCCTGTCATCCCGGCAGCCGGGAGGCTGAGGCAGGAGGAACACGAGTTCAAAGCCGGCCCCAGAACTCAGGGAGGCCCAGAACTCAGGGAGGCCCCGACTCTAATAAGATACGAGATAAGGGCTGGGCTGGGCTCGGCAGTAGCGCGTTGCCTGGCACATGTGAAGCACTGAATAAATGAAATAAAGGTCTTTCAACAACTAAAAAAAAAAATTCAAAAAATAAATAAAAATGAAATACAAAGTAAGGGCCGGGGTGTGGCCTGGTGGTTAGTGCCCCTGGATCCAATCCCAGGTATCAAAAATAATGACCAAAGGGTTTCCTCCGCTGGAGAGTGGTGTCTTAGTTCCTGCGTGCAGGGCGGGGGCTTGCCCTCCCTCGGGGCTGTCCTTGCTGGGACACCCTCTGGACACACCCCAGCAGAGGCGCCTGGTGTGGACGGTCAGAGGTGCCGGACAGCGTGGCCGGGAGCTGGTGCAGCGAGTGTCCACAGGCAGCTGCTGCCCTGGAGCTGGCGCACGGCTAGTTTCCCCCTCACCGCCCAGGGGGAAGCCACCCCTGCCTCACATGGGGAGCTGAGGCCCTGCGCTGTGCAGCCTCTGGACCCCAGGTCCGTGGGCAGCCTTGCTCCAGGCCGGGGCCTCCTAGGTGAGGCCCTCCCTCTGACCCTGGCTGCTGGCTCTGTGCGCCCTGCAGGAGGTGGCTGTCACACAGTGGTGCTCTGTGAGGATGTGGCCCAGATGAGACAGCAGTCAGCATGGCCCAGGCGCTGTCCCCTCTGGACCCCACTTCCCCTGGTTGTCACCAGTGGCTGGTCTGATGGTGGCATCACCCTGAATGGGGTGGGGTCACCCTCTGGCCAGTACCCTGCCTGGTTCCAGTGGTGGGGGTTGAGGACACTCCAGTGGTGATCTCGCGCCTGCCCCTCCCCTTGCTCCACGGTCCTCAGTGAGGTCCGCCCAGCTGTCTCTGGCCACCTGTCGCTGTCTGTCCCGTCCACCCTCCCAGACTCCATCCTGTGCTCCGGGCCCAGCGTGGTGGCTGTGGGTAAGAGGGGCTGGGGAGGCCGTCTCCAGGGCTGGGGTCCGCTCCCCCGCGCTGCCGCCCCCTCACCTGGGTCTCCCACCCCGGCCCCCTATGCGCTGAAGCCTTCCTCCTCGGCCCCTCAGGGTCTCCCAGCCCCAGGGAAGGGGGGCCTCCCTTCCTGGGGTGAGGGACCCACTGGAACTAGCAGCCAGAGGCCATGGAGACCTCAAAAAGCAAGGTCTGGGGCTGACTTCAGGTTGGCCCCGTCTGCAGCCTCGGTTTCCTCACCTGCCATATGGGAACAGAGGCCGCGAGAGGAGGCCGGGGCCGTGGGCACGCTGGGACAGGAAGACCCCAGGACCCTCCTCCCCTGCCCTCAACTACTGTGGCCAGAGGGCCAGGTGGGTTCTGGCTGCTGGGGGTTGGGCCCCTCGGAACATGGGGATGGGTGAAAGCTTTGGGTGCCAGGAATGGTGGGTGAGGATGGTCAAAGAGAGCCCCCATAGGAGCAAGACCTGGGAGGGGCTCAGACACTGACCAGCTTGTGCTGCTGGCCTTGGACACCAGTTAAAAATAGTCCCTGGGCTCAGAGAACATGAGCTGACCCTGGGGCCCAGGTTCTGGTGTGGGCTGAGTCTTTGACTCATTGCTGTGTGACCTTGGGTGGATTCCAGTCCTCTCTGAGCTCCAGCAGCCTTTGCTGCCACACTCAGGGATGCTGGGGTCCAGAGAGATAGGCCATGGGGAGGGCCCAGCGTGGTGGCTGTGGGTAAGAGGGGCTGGGGAGGGTGCCTGGGAATGGGCCCTTGTAGGAGGTGACTGTGCTCAGAGAAGGCTGCTAGAGAGAGAGGGACCAGCAACAACTGGGAAGTGGCAGAGGGAGGCTGGTGGCCTCCTGTCCTTGGAGGCCCAGGTGGTGAAACTCCTTTTCCCAGCCCCGGTCTGGGCCCACTGCTGCTCCAGTCTACATGACAACCAGAGCCTCGGAGGAGCTGGACGGAGGCCTGGGCAGCTGCCTGGCCAGTGAGGACCTCTCTGCTTTGGCAGATCCCTGCCCAGGCCGGCCTCCAGGGGACAAGCCTCCAGGTACGCTGAGCCAGGTGGCTCACCACCAGACACCAGGGATTACTGTCCCTCACTGGGCTGGAACTGCTCCCTGCGGCCAGCCTGGTCCCCATTCCTGCCTCGGGGGTCTTTCAGGAGCCCGGAACAGGTGCCCGGCCACAGGGATCTGGGTTTGACCCCAGGCGGCCTTTGGAGTCTGTGTGCTTTGGGGCAAGGGTGTCTCTGAGCTGTCTGCAACTGGGAGGCCGCAGGCACTGTTAGCCCAGCGGCAGGGGGCGGGGTCTGACCTGGGGGCCCTGCCACCTTGCTAAACTCTCCATTCCCACCCACAGAGACCCCCAGGCTGGGCAACTCCAGCACCTGGCCCCAGGTGAGTGTCTGGGCCCTCAGTTACAGCCGAGGATGCCCTTGGAGTTGAGGACAAATTGGCTAAGAGGGTGTGTTTGTTAGACCCCAGGGAGGGCCGGGCTCCCTTTGAGGAAAGACCTAAGGAAACAATGACCTGGAAAGTCTGGTGATTCCCACAGGACTCTCGGGAGGCCGTGGCAGTGGGGAATGTGGCCACCAAACCCCAGAAGATGGAAAAGGAGCCTGTGGTCAGGGGGAGCCCAGGAGCTGGGAAGGAAGAGCTGAAATCTGGAGCAGGTGGGTTTGCAACAGGCATGGGTGAGGCAGGGGTGGGTACAGATTGGCATGGGGGATAGGCTGCAGCCTGGGTCACCAAATTTAGGGGGTCAAGTGACCGGATGCAATGGGGGCTCCTGGATGCCCGTGGCAGGCAGTGCCGGCAAGGGCAGGGGCACCCGCTCAACCAGAGCCGCGGGGCGTCCAGGGCTCGGCTCACCTGCGAGGAGCTGGTGCAGGACGCAGGTCTGCCCTGTGCCCAGCGCGGGCGGAGGGTGCTGCGGAGCCCAGAGCCGGAGCTCAGAACACCCACCCTGCAGCCCCTCGGAGCGTCCCCGCACGTAAGAAGGCGCAGGCCGCGCCACCGCAGCCGCCACTGCCGCTCCCCGCCCTCGGGGAGGAGCTGCCCTGGGGAGACGTGACCCTCAACAAGTGCCTGGTGCTGGCCTCCCTGGTCGCCTTGCTGGGCTCCGCCTTCCAGCTGTGCCACGGTGAGCCGGGCTCCCCAGAGGTGGGATGGGGGTTGGGGACCAGGCCAAGCACGGCCAGGGCGGGGTCTGGGTGCCTCCTCTCCAGGGTAGGGGCTCTTGCAGGCCGCTCTCCTGCGCCCCTCCCTTGAGCTCCCCCAGTGACCCTGGCCGAGGACCACTCTCCCCTCCCCCTCCGGCCAAGGCCACGCTCACACCGGCCTCGTGGCCTGGGCACCCTCTGGCCCCGCAGGGATCTGCGGCGCGTTTGCCACAGGACAAAGGGAGGTGCGGGACACGAGTGCCCTCGCGGCAGAGAGCCCTGCCAGAGGCACAGCCAGGCTGCTCCGTGGTCGCGGCATGGAGCTCTAGGGTGGAGGGAGGGTGGCAGTGGACAGCGTGACGCCTCCTAAGGCCCAGGCTGACTGGCTTTCCCCACCGGTCCCCCAGATGCCATGATGGGGGAGGGGGCTGCCCCCACACCTGCCCCTGAGCCCTGGGTCCCTCGGAGTTCTCCCCACAAAGAGCCGGTGACTTCCCCGGTAAGCTTTCCAGCGGCTGCGGGAGGTGGGGCCCCTGTCCCTGTCCAGGAGAAAGGGGTGGGCCGCCTCCAGACCCACGCGCCCGTCTTACAGCCTGAGCCCACCATCCGGGAGCCCCCATCGAGACGGCCCGCTCCCCAGGCGGGGCCACCAGCTCTCCAGGGGAAGACAGAGGACAGTCCCGAGGTCCCCATGACCAAGGAGGCCGCAGAGAAGGCTCCAGGGGAAACTGGGGAGGCCACCAGAGAGGCTGCTGGGGAGGACGGAGGGCCCAAGGAGAGGCGGCGGAAGGAGAGGCCGCGGAGGGAAGAGAGGCCGCCGAAGGAGAAAATCCGAAAGGAGAAGCCGCGGAAGGAGAGGCCGCGGGTCGCCAGGGAGGCCCGGGAAGCCCTGCCCCGACGTTGGGAGGCACGCGGAAGGGGCCATCGGCCCTGGGCGAAGGACCCCAGGTACCCTGAGCACAGGAAAAGGCAGGTCTGGGTCCCCCCGCGGCACCCTGACGACGAGGAGGACGGGCGTCCAGGCCGACGGAAGCTCCGCGCGGGCAAGGGGCGGGGCTGAGCCGGGCCCGGGTCCCTAGCGCGTCCCGGGTCCCATCTGACTCCCCTCAACGGCCCGAGGCTCCAGCAAAATAAAGCGAGTGCTGCGGCCAGTGCGTGGCCTGCTCCTTCGTGCTTGGACCCCCTGTCTGAATGGCATTGAGCTACAAGGGGTGACTCAGGCCTTGCACTTGAGAAGGCAGAGGAGGCCCTCACGGCTCCCCCAGACGCAGGCGACCCCAGCTGAGTGCATGCTGTTTTTATTGGGGCGATGCTTGAGGTTTGAATAAATATGGGGAGGGGCGCTAGCTGGGGCGCGCTGGAGTCCGTGCAGCGGCGGTCACCGGCAGCCGCACTCGGTGGCCACCATGTTGGGCACGTGGTGAGCGCTAATACGCTCCTCGGATAGACTAATGAGGAGTTTCCCCGCGTAGGCGGTGGGCACGCAGCAGGGCGGGCGAGCCAGAGCAGCCCCGCGGGCCTGCATCTTCAGCAGCAGAACCACGTGGTTGCCGTAGCGCGGGTTTCGGTCGGACTGCGGCCAGCCGCACTCACCCTGACAGTTATTGGCCTGGTAGGTCTCTGGGATGAGCACAGAGCGTTCGGCGCGCAGGTCCACGCTGAGCTCACGCAGCGCGCACGGCCCGTCCACTGCGCCTGTGGCCCCCGCACTCCGCTGCGCCCGCGCCGAACCGCGCTGATCCCGCCCGCGCCACTCGGCGCGCAATCCCTGCAAGGCCTTCAACAGCAGCAGCGCACGCATTGGGTCCCCGGGGCTGCCAGGGCCCTTAGTGTCACTGGAGTCACCCGGACACAGCTCCAGCAGACGCGCTAGCAATGGGGGCGCTGCAGGCGGCAGGCCCGGGAGTCCGCGGAGCTCCGCGGCCGCAGCCTGAAGCTCGATGGCCACGCGATGCACCAGGCCGGCGGCCCAGGGCGCTGACGCGGGGCCCTGCAGTCGCGTGGGGTCCCCAGAAGTGGCCGCAACGGGCGGCAGCAACAGCAGTAGAGGCTCCTCGCCATCGAGGAGGCGTTTCAGTGCCGCGGGGTCTGACAGGTTGACGAGGCCCTGCGGGAAACCGGCAAGAGCGCCTGGGTCCAGGGCCAGGCGCGGCGATGAGGCTCGGGTGGGGGACCCTCGCAGCGCGCGCACCAAGCGCGTAAGCGTCTCCAGGAAGGGGTCTGTGCTGGGCGGCAGCTCCTCGGGCTCTGGGGACGACCTGGAACCCGCAGTAGGGGGCGAGGTAGTCTTGAGGGAGTGAGGCCGTGCCGCCTCCACCCCCCTACGCCCCCTGCTCCACGACCGGCACGCACCTGGGCGGCGGGAAGGGCACTATGTCCAACTGGCCACGGGCAGGCAGCGGCGCAGGCCCAGATGGCAGCAGGAAGAGGGCCGGGGTCATTCGCGTGAAGCGGCGGGGGTCGGAACCAAACAGCAGCGTCTGCAGCTGGGCGGTGCTCATGGGGCCACCTGTGGTGGGCGGGCACTACTATGGCTCGGAGACTGGCACCAAGGGCAGCAGCCCCTGCCCAGTCTGCCTACCGTCTCCGTGGGGCCGCAGGGTCAAGGTGAGCCCAGAGCTGCTCCAGGCCTCCGCTGGGCGGTCCACGGCCAGCACCAGATAGCGCGTGTTGTGGGTCGGACAGAGGCCCTGTGGAGATGGGGCTCGGCCTGTTTTTTGGGGGGCGCTGCCGCCCCCAGCCTGGCTATGCACATCCCTTCTCCCCGGTGCCTGACCACCCTTTTTCTCACTCACTGACCCTCTGTGCCTTTCCATTAAACAGAGACCTCAAAAAAAAAAAAAAAAAAAAAAAAAAAATCCAGCCTCCTCCCCTCAAACAGGGCTCCTGGTGGCCCAGGACTGCCCTTTGCAACTCCCAGATACCTGGGCACCTGGCAGCCCAGCCCCGGTGACAGTCACCTCGGGGCCAGGCCCAGGGTATAGCACCAGCAGCGCCTGCTCATGGGGGCTGGCTCCTCCGGGGGGCTCCTGGAACCTCAGCGAGGGCACTGGTTCCCATGTCACTGCAGCCAGGACAACAGGGACACCTGAGCCACTGAGCCCAAGTGCTCCCCAGGCCTGTTCTGCAACAAGAGCCTCCTCCCCAGTTGTAGCCTCTGCCAATCTGTTGGAGGCCAGGAGGTCTAAGGGTACTGTCCACTCTCCCTGGACACCAGGAGCAGGGGACCTCATCTGAAGGGACAGGAGGTCCCCTTCTTGTTGCTGTCTGGGAAGGAGACCACGTTGGGGGCTGGCTGAAGGCTGTGGGTAAGGATGCACCTTGGGGTTCTCTGGGTCTAGCTCTCCTGGGCTCCCTGGCTGTGGGGAGGGGCCTTCCCTGTTGACCTGGGAGCTCTGCCAGCACTACTGTGCGCAGGAGGGGTACCCTCACTGTCACTGTGTGGGGGCCATCTGGGAGCCTGGGTATCAGGGAATCCCTTGTTCCTCCCTTGGGAGGGCTTCTACATACCTTCCGCCAGGTGTAGGACCAGCAGCAGACCCCTCCGTTCCCCCAGCCAGGACCCCAGGTGCCGCAGAGTGGGCAGGGCAGTCTGCACGTCGCTGAGGTTGCAGACCCCAAAGGTTGCCAGGTCTTGGGGTTCCCAGCGGGACCTCCCAACAGCCTCCAAGAAAGCGTGTTCATAGCTGCTCAGGGTTCCCACCACCTGCAAGGGGCCTCTGTTCCCACTGTTGGTCCTGCTCAGTGTCACCAGGCACAGGGGGTCCTGTGGGCCACCAGGCTGCCACATCCAGTCTTCAGGGAAGATGAAGCCCCCCGCTGGCTCCTCTCCTCTGGAGATCTCAACCCTCAATACAGTCCCCATGGCCACCACCAGGGCCAGCTGGCTAAGGAAAGGTGGGCCCTGCATATTGAGTGCTGGAAGGGGCTGGGTGGCCTGGCTTATATGGGTGAGCATGGAATGTGTGGGAAGAGGAAGGCCTCTATCTGCTCCACAGAGTGACCTTGGGGGACAGTGCCCAGCACCCCACACGGAGCAGGGGCACATGGGAGACAGCCTTCTCAAAGAGCTATCTGTTCTGGGCCCAGCCACCTATCTCTCTCTCACCAGATAGCCAGGCCTGTGACCGCCCTGGGGACCAAGCTGTCCTTGAGGAAGGGTCCCTCCTAAAGACAAACAGCAGAGGGACCATGGGGGGGGGCATGCTTGGAGTGCAGAGGCGCAGAACCCCACCCCCACCCTTGTAGCAGTGGGGTGGTCTCCGAGTCAGCTGGGGCTCCCTGTGCCCTTCCAGCTACACTCTGTCCAGCAGCACCCTGCACATGTCCTGGTGGAGGCCAGAACCCATGTGTGGCAGGCATGGACCCCCCCACAGCCCTCCCACCCAGCAGTGCCCCATCAGTCAGTCCACTGCAGACACGGGGAAGCTGTTTAATGGGCTCTGGGAACAGTAAGTACAAAAGCTCACGACGCCTTCCTGTGGGAACGCAGGGAGAAAGGGGACACCAGATACACAAGGGGGGCAGCTTTTCAGTTGGTTGGGGGAGGGGGAGGGATGTTCCCTGGACCTTCCGAGGGGAGAGGAGGCCTCAACATCGGAGGCATAGGAGCTGGGGGGTGCACCCCAGGATTTGACGGGTGAACTCCAGGAGGCTGAGGGTGGACCCCAGGAGCTGCAGGATGAACCCCAGGAGGCTGGGGGTGGACCCCTGGTGCCTGGGGATGTATCCCAGGGGCTGGTGGGTGTACCCCCGGTGCCTGAGGATGAACTGCAGGAGCAGGTGGATGTACTCCTGGGGCCTGGGGGTGAACCCCGGCCGTTGGGGGAGGGTGGACCCCTGGGGCTGGGGGGTGGACCCCTGGGGCTGGGGGGTGGACCCCAGGGGCTGGGGGGTGGACCCCAGGGGCAGGGGGGTGGACCCCTGGAGCAGGGGGGTGGACCCCAGATGTTGGTGGGTGCACCACTGGTGCTGGGGGATGGACCCCGGGAGCTGGAGGGTGGACCCCAGGAGCAGGGGGGTGAACTCCAGATGTAGGGGGGTGGACCACTGGTGCTGGAGGATGGACACCAGGAGCTGGTGGGGGCAGCTGGGGAGGCCCAGGGGGCCCCGAGGGTGCAGGCCCAGTGGGGGGCATGGGTGGCAGGGGCAGGCCTCCTGGTGGAGGCGGGGGCAAGGACTCTGGCAGTGGTGGCCGAGGAGGCAGACCATTCATTAACGGGGGTGGAGGCCGCTTCACCCCTGGAGGCCCTGCAGGGAGGCTGGGTGGGGCCGGAGGCTTCTCCATCTTAAAGTGGAACTGAAGGAAGAACTGGAGAGACATGGGAGGTCCTCAGACCCCGTGGCCTTGGAGCTGGGGGGTGGACCACTGGTGCTGGAGGCCTTGGTGTGGGTTCCCGCAGCACCCAGACCCAGGCCCCCATTCACTAACCTGCTTGGTCTCCCTGTTCCAGTGAGTCCAGAACTTGCCCTCAGCCTTGTCGATCTCCCGGCTGGGTACCTAGGGAGGACGAGAGGCCCCAGAGGGCCCCTGGTGTGAGGCAGACTGGGCTCACCCCCATCCGGCCCACACCAGAGTGGCAGCCTGCGTCGCCCGGACTCACAGCTACCGTCACTCCTGGACAGCCTAGACCCAGCAGAGCCGCAAAGTGGAGGCCTCACAGCTGAGGCACTCGGCCCACCTGGGGACCCCAACTCTTCATGAAACAGCAGTAGTCACAAGAGGGAGACCCCCAACGGGTAGTGCCCGTGCTGGAGGCCCATCTCCAGCGTGCAGTGGCTAATGGTGACCCTCCTGCCCTGTACAGACTCTCGTGGGGGAAGGAGGAGACCCCAGAGGCCCGACTACCTTGAAGGCGATGGTCTCATAGGGCTCGGCAGCCATCAGCAGGTACTGCCAGCGCCGGTCCGGAGGCTCAATCCTCTGCTCGTAGGCAGACATGAAGCGGTGGCGAGGCATGATGCCCTCGGCGATCTCCGGGTAGTCGATCTGCGGAATGCAGCCAGTGGCAACGCTGCTTCTCAGCCAGTGCCTCTGGGGCCCCTCCCTCCCTCCCTCCCTCCCTCCCTCCCTCCCAGCCCTGGGCCCCACCTCACCTGGAACAGGAGGCTCTGCTGGCCCATCTCTGTGTCCCTCTGCTTGGTCACTGCA